ATCACGGGCGTTGTCTATAACCTATTACATTCACCTCATTCTCATTCACAACTCTGTTGTATTTAAATGTGCTATAGAAATAAAATGGATTGGATTGGATTCTCCAGCAGCCAATCACCGTGCTGCAGCCAAACTTCAAAATGGTTCTCCTCTCTCCTGCAGTCAGCTGTGATTCCAGGTTTTCATGCTGCCGCCCTCCTCCTCCCCATCCTCCTCCTTTCATCATATCCAGAGCCAGGAGAGTTAATCCAAAGAACTCATCACACCTCCTCTTCATCCCATCTCCTCATCAAATCCAGATCTTCAGCATCATCACCGGTGTCTAGACCCCGGGGGGTTATGCTCACGGCTGCATTTCCCCCTTTAGATATAAGATTTCAGGATCGGGGTCTAATCGCCAAAGACTTAACATTTATCAAATGACATGTGTCAATAAAATGTTCCTTAAACAAAATGAAGTCTCTCCTGATTGAAATGGGAGCTGCTGCAGTAAAATGTTTCACCACGAGATGTCAGGACAAACCAAATTATGCCATTGCTGTCTTTTGGGATTTGGCACAATGAGAAGAAAAATGAGAAATGAGAAGAAAAATCACATTATTCTGCATAATCATTAGCCTTTTCTCTGGGTTTAGAGATGAGGATTGAAAAATCTATCCTGGAGTACACATCTTTTCTAGGATTAACCCCCACACTTTGAGAAATGAGAAAAACTCATTAGTTCAATGAGGTTATTGGTTGAAAAATATTTGATAAATATCACTGTTTTAGGCCATAAATACTATGTGCAAAAAAATTACAATTTTTCTGGCATTATATACTATGACTTGCTTTAATGCAAAAAAGCATACTGTAGGCTACTGTGAATTTTTTTTTCACTTACTTTGACATTTTTATTACCTTTTTTATGCCATACTAAACTATAACTTTGTTTTGACACACTATCCTATAACTACTTTTATGACCTACTATACTACGCCATTATTTAGTTGTTCTCATTTATAACACTCCGTTCGATGTCTCACTATGGGATGCGCCTCAACGCGTATGCAAATAGAAGCATCAATCTCATTACGCCAATCCTGATTGGCAGGTGATCTTGACGTCTACGTCAGGGAATCCACCCACCCTATAAGTAGCTTGCGCTACGACGCAGCGTCATTCAAACACCTCTTCTCGCTTCAGAGCACATCTCGAATGATCAGTAGCCGGGCTAGCTTAACGGTCCACAGACTGAACCCAAAGCTAACATTCGGTCGACGGGCGCTAGCCGGTTACTTTTTTGCTTTGCAAGAAGACTGAACAATATTAACACACCAGTTAATATTGTAATCTGCCTCGCCGTTTCTTTCTTTCGAAATTACGGTAAGGTTTGATTTTTTCTTCAAGCTAGTAACATACCTGTTGCTAGCTTTTCTTCCCTCCACACCGACACCACGGTAGCGAGGACGTTCTCTTTTCTCTCTCACACCAGAGGAGACGGAGATAAAAACAAAAGGTATTAACACACCAGTTAATATTCTTTGAAGAATAAAATCTTCGCCGTCGCTTTTTCCTTTCGGATTAACGACAAGGTTGGATTTTTTTTTTCAGTAACGTTACCCTGTTGACGTGCGTGTCCACTCCACGACGGAGCCACCCCGGCGAAACAAGAGACTTGACCGCGTTGCCTCTCCTCGGGAGTCAGCGGACTGCGTGCAGGCGGTCGGCTTATCGCGGGCGTGAGGGCGGGGTTTTTAAGATGCTCAGGGCCAGAACTTCGAAGAGACACCCAGGTCTTGCTCAGTCCTGTCTCGGGGCTGGGAGGCGCCCGCAGGAGGTTATCGATACGCCGGCTCGCGGGTGGCGGGCATTGTGCGGGCCGGCTGTCACGTTAAGAGCCTCCGGCGCGGGCGACCTAGGGCGGACGCTGTGAGGCTGCTTGTTCGGGGACAGGACCCCGGTCAGTGTCACGGATTCGCCGCGGGCCGGGGCCGCGGTGGCAATCGAGAAGACGTGGTGCGTCCGCCGCAAGAGATTGGAGCCTGCCCCGTGCGCTGTGTCGGCTCGGAGAACAGCGGGACGGCGCTGAAAGGCGGAGCCCGCGGCGTTGTCCAGGCTGGGTCCCGTGGCGACAAGAGCCGGCCGAAGCCGGAGGCCTGCGGCAAGGCGTCCCCCAAGCCTGGACTCACCAGGTGCACGCCCGGGCGGGGAGGAGGATCCCCGGTGTGTGGAGTGTTGGCGGTTATTTTATGGATGGAAGAGAGCCCCCGCCCCCCCAGAGGATCCTCTGAGTTCCTCCTGTTACGAGGATGAAGCGGCGAGGATGACATCTTGTTTCCGATTCGGCTCAGGGCTGCAAAGGGCCGGGCGAGCGAGTCGCTCTTCCCGGGCGAAACCCTGCCTAAGTATGGACTTGAAGGCCGTGTGTCACGCGGCTGCTTTCCACATTGCTGGACATTCCCATGGCTGAAAAGTGGCCAAGGA